ATCAATTTAACTTAACCACTTGGCGTATTCCGTTGATAATATTAAAATTAATCTTTTAAATACCCGCGTATTGTCGACGCTATATTTAAACCTAAAAATTATAATTTTTACTACCATGCATTCTGTCATAAGTCCAAAAAACAGCAACACCTACCAAATATTATAGAGTATAAATCTTCGGATAACAACAGTGGTTGTAAAAGATTCGGCCTTAGCCGAAGATAATGTGCATATTCGATTGGCATAAAGGCATTCAGGCCAACACCGCAAAAACTGTTCAGGAAATGTAAGAAATCCTGAAATGTGATCTGCGACCTTTTTGTTATATTCATTCAATTAGCAGTTGCTCTTATGACTTATAGCCTATAGGAGTAGTGTTTCCATTCTTACCATGATAATCAATTGAAGAAGACTTCTCGTCCTAAAATTCAAATTTTGTCAATAAGTTTAAAAAAAGTAAGTAATGGACAAAACAAACTATTATATTATATATTTAATAAGCGTTCAGATTTATAAAAAAAAAAACAAGGAAATTATATATGTATCTAACACCTTTGTCTTCAAAAAAGAATTGTCAAAGAATAAGAAAACTTAATACTCTATGATATTGGGTGGGCGTAAATAATTTCTTTTCGTTTATCTACCCTGATTATGCATATAATCATCGATAGAAATATCCTTGTATCTTGATGTTGTTTATGATGTTGTTTGTTCACTTTCGAAAATGAGGGTTTTCTCAGTTTATGTTATATTCTAAATTCGAAGACAATATCATCGTCTATCCCATTAACAAAAGATTATTTATCACAGATATTATGCAGATGATTAAATGATGACTAATCAAAAATATATACAGGGATGCTTCGTTGTGGATACAGCAAACGTTTTGATAAAATGAATACACTCTAATACTTAGAGATATAAAAAGTAACGAAGAAAATTTATTTCAAGACACTTTACTGTCGTTTCAGTTCATTGCGTGTACAAGTCAACGTTACCTGGCGTTGCCTTGCGTGACAAAAATAATAGTGTTTAAACATTTCATAACTATATCCTACCGTGTTTGTGGTATGCACGCAACATCCACAAAGACTTGAAACAGAAATTATTTTTATTATATAACCCGTTTCAGAAGCATTTCTTAAATCGATTCAAACCTACTCGTTCATCGTTTTTTCCTCATCAGCCTACAGATCACAAATTTCAAAGTATATTAAGACTTATTTCCACTCAATAGCAAATCCTATTGAAAACAAACAGCATTGGATCAGATGAGGAGGTTAGTCTAACGTCTATTGAGCCTAATGAAAGTGATGGAATTTGTCTGGTCACAAAAATAGTTTTCATAGGATTGCCTTCACGTCTGGAGAAAGCCCAGGACATATTAAATGATCTTAACGAGCTTAGATATCTCAATCCGAGTATAATAATTTTTTCTTGTTTCCTACAGACGTGCATGTCTAACTCGAAACGCTTTTAGAGAAATGCATGTCCAAAGCCAAAGAACATTCAACTGTATCCTTCAATAAATAATACAATTGTAATTATGAACAATCCTAGAGATATATATATTTAAAATCGTAATGCGGCATTTGCACTTACCATAATTTCATTTACCTCACAATGTTTCCTTATTTTACTTAAAATTACGAAAAAAGCCAGGATTTCATTGGATAAAATTATAGAAAGGGATTTCCAAAAACTTGTAATAACTTCTCTGCTTCTGTTCCTAATTAGTAATCAATAATGTGGTTTCGACGTGTGTTTTCGTAAGCAATGGAAAAACGAGTGTAATGCAAGTTCTGACGAAACACCGCACATAAAATGCATATGTGTAGCTGAAATTGTAGATGGAGGGATAAGAATAAGTTGTTGCCTCTAAAACGGTCAATAATTTGTTTCTTTTTATTTCATAATCGTTGTTCATTTTTAATTACGTCCTATAAGTGTATAAGTAGAGAAAAACCATGTAATTGGAGGGAGCAACTAATCACCCAATGCTTTGGACTGCAAGGCAAACTATCTTGATTTCACATGAAATCATTTCACAAAATTACTGAAGTCATCTTTTCCGCTTTTTTTCCATTCATAACAAATGTTGAAAAAACTACCCGAACAGAATGTGAAAATATGATGATTTTTAAGTGATCGAAAACCACCTTCTTCCACTTATAAAGTAAGATTTAGAAGAAAACTTTTCCATTGAAATATTCGTGATGCTCATAAAGAGATAGCAGCTGCTATCTGTTCTCAATGCTGTCGTTACACTTTTTAAATTGCCTGAAATTGTCACAGCAAATATTTGCCTTCTAATGGTGGCTGACATCTGTTGGTGTGTCAGTGTCAGTGTCACAGTCCTCAGGATTTTCAATTACACTTAAGAATAACAATAATGATCGGAACAATGATGATAATGATGATATTATCAATAAAGGCACAAGATGTCGAACAAAAGCAGCAGGAACATTATGTGAGTCTACATATCTTTGGAGAATTTCAATGGCTATCGTAAATGTGCGCACACACACACACACACACACGCCTGTTCATATATTTTCATGCTTATATACTTATTATTATATATTGATTAGTGACAGTATGCGCATAAAGCAAAGTGGATAACATTGTTGATTCACAATAACGGTCTGGCATGTCCTATTTCGAGAGAAACTATCGTAAATATTTTGGAATTTAATGAAATAAAATCATAGATTTTAATAGTCATTTAAGTGTCCATTAACGAACTCTTAAGGAAATTTTAATGCGAATACAAAGTGTGCAAGTTGAAAACCGATTGGATCTAAACGACTTTCTTAGGCGTTTTAAAGGAGTTACTACAGAGAATGATTAACACAATAACTCTTCGCCTAATCGTTGGAGTCATCATTATGCTTGCAACAGATGGCCACAAAAACGGATTTGAAATTGAATTGATTTGCGGCGGACTATAAAGTCGAGACTGTTTTTGCGTACCTTTCTCTCTCATAAAGTCAATTTCAAAAATGAACTAAACTGACGGCTTACACAACTGCTACGTGATAATCCTTTCCGGATGATTCCGGATGATGCAAATACATAACGTTCGATATTTTGCTTTTCTCTATACTTTAGGTTATATAACAATTTCGTGTACTTTTTACGCGCGATCGTTCCTGTAATGTTTTCCGCTTTGCTTACAATTATGTAAGATTCGTAACTTCGCTTCCTCTAAGTAGAGATGTGTATTGAGCTTGCTTTTTATGTTATCTTTGCTATGTTTGCTTGCTTTGGAAATATAATTATGCCCTTGCGGTAACGGGTATATTAAGTTTGTGTGCAGGGAGCCTTAAGATAGACCCATCTTTTACTATATCGACTAATTTAAAATCTTTCTGAATCGGTCTATCCGTAGGCCTAACCTAGAGATCACAATGTTTCAGTTATTATGATAAAATTTGGTACTTCCAGGTCTTTTGACGTAACGAAATACCTTACTGAAAATGGATTAATTCGGACGACCTCTTCGATCTCGCCAAACACAGCGCCTGAGTATAAAAAAGTCGTTACATGAGAAAAAGTAAAAATTTTCTAAATTTTTCCACAAAAAACCTTCAATACTCTAACTTACTAAATTTAGGCGGGACGGGGCACTTTGTTGAACACTTCCCACCGAACCTTCGCATAATAAAAAGGACCAAGTGCTTATTTCTAAAGGAGTCCTAGATGCACTCTAACGCCAATAAAAGTTGAACAATTCACTTATTTGCCCTGGAACGATGTATAAATCTTAAAAGCACATACCAGAGACTACATAAAGTATTTCCCAAAGTATTACAAATCGTACTAACTATTGTGCTTTTGCGTGCATTTATTCTTAGAGGAAGTGAACTGGAAACCTGAAAGTCGGCACACGCTCTTCTTTAATATAATAGCCAAAGATCACAACAGAAAATGTGTGAGACATAAGGTGTAAAGCAAAGTTTTGAAACTTTGGTACGAATAACCTACCTTGTATATCAGATAAAACACAAAAAAAACAATTTTGGTGTAAATTTGATCTGGGGCGTCAAAGAATTGCTGACCCCTTAAAGCCAATGATTGTAAAAAGTTTTGCAAATTTCAGGCACATGCTTAAGATAAGGGATGAATTCGTTTAGTCGCTACACCACTTCAAAAATGCTGAGCTTATTCAATTCCTGCAAATGTCGGTAACGAATGTGTATGACTGACTCTTCATTATAATAATCGATTCAGATTCATAGTTTATGGGGCGTGAATTTTCGCGATAGTTTAAAGCAATTTACTGACCTAACATTCTTTGATTCAAGAATGAACCTTAGCTAAATCCGACGATTTTAAGTACACTCCTTACTTTAGGAAGCTCTGCTCATTAAAAATTTGTTATGCCTGACTATGACACGAAAGCTTAAATTTTTGATATTTTGTAACGAAGATAGATAAAAACTTGTTTCAAACAAAGCAGCGCATATAGGTGTTGGATGCTTGGCCTTGTTCGAATATAATGTTTTTTAATATTATTTTATTTCATTTCATTTCGCTGTTGTATGACCTAGAAAGCAATTTTCGCCCTGTTTAACGATGTGCTTTACAAAATATCCAGATTTTACTCAGAGCATTCATATAAACTGCAAAGCTGCAGATAGGCAAACAAAGTTTATCACAACCAATGGATAGTTGACATAGAACTACCAATTTTCGGTTTGGGTTTGAATTGAGTTGGACAGTGACAAACTAACGTAACGCTATAAGTACAAATAAATAAATGATTGCTACGTGGTGAGAGTGATTCAAGTGTACAACGTTAAGTAATCAGAGTATTATTTATTGATGTTCCTGTGCATTTCATGTTTGACACACAGTTACCTACACAAACCAATTTTGATATCTATAATATTTATTGTGATAGGGATGATAATAATAATGGTGGTGACTATGATAATGACGACGATGATGATGATGATGATGATGATGATGATGATGATGATGATGGCGGTGATGCAGCAGCACCCAATAATGGTGTGCTAAAGTTTATGTTTGTTTTAGCTTAACACCCCATTACGAGTAGGATAATAAAAGTCCGTCTTTACATTTGTATATGAAGCACACACATGAATGCTAAGAATTTGATACATTTACGTTTCGTACAATATGTGTGTACGGCATCGCATTACAACGGTACATGATAAATGCAATGGATGTGTGGGGTGTCTGTTGTTTACCTTGCAGGTTGAACGAAAATATTTTTGCAAGTCATCTGCTTTAGGGTATCCGCAAACATCCGCCTATAGAGTGTAGATATGTTTGATTGCATGAATAACTGCATGAATATCTGTTACATTTTCATTATTTACATATAAAGGAAATCGTGTAAAAATGTTCATGACATATATTAAACTTTTCCCTCTCATTTTGAAACATTGTTAGATTCGTTCATTTTTATTTTCTTTTCTTCTATTCTACGACAAAAGAAAATCATGTAAATCTCAACGAGACGACTGCGGTAAAAAAATAATATCATAAAGTTTTTTTTTAATCTAAACTTTGCGCGCGTATTAAATTTACGTTCATTGCGAAATATATGTGCGCCTAGAGAAAAGAAAAGGAGAATATCAACGAATTTTATTTTAGTGAAATAATATATAATAATAGCAATAATAATAATAAATATAATGTGGTCACCGGAATCAGAAATTAATTCAATTGCCATGGCCACGACAATGCGCCATTCACAGTCATCGTCATCGGGTAAGCTCTATGCATTAAAATCTAAGGAATGTGTGATTATATGCTTCTTAAATACAAAAAAGAAAAAACGCCTGACGATATATTACGTTTATCAAGTTTTATTTATGCCTAGAAATATGCATCAAATACTTTATACATAATGTTTACAACAAAGTTATGAGCGCATATAGCGTAATCGATTTTGCCGTATTTGTCGTTCGGCACTTTTCACTTGAAATTTGCTATACGAGCTCAAACTTTCACCTGGAACAACAACAAAAAACTTAGTTTTAAACTTTTCAGTTTCAGTCAGACTGTCATTATCATCAGATTAGGTTCATTCAAGTAGATTAATAAATTTGCTGATAGAATAAAAATTAGATGTTTCAAAAACCTGAAAGTTGTATGATTAATTTTCAGAACCATCTATTTAGTTCCTGTTCTTACCCTTGTATCTCGGATAGAGTTTATATCAAACATCGAGCACACTACTTTATTCCTAATCTCAGTGAAATATGGTATAAAATTCCTTTAAAGGCTGTAAATGTCAGTGCAAAGTTCTGAGCTTTTGTATGTCCCTCCGTCCGACCCTTTTGGAGCTCTCTAGCCGCCAAAAGCTGAGATAAGAAGACGAATTTTGATTTATATACTTTTCGCTAATAGGCGCTAATCAAGACAATAACGAGACTGCAGCTTACCAACCATCCCCTAGCCCCGGCCCCCTCTCCTTCCCCAACTCCAGCACCTTACTAAATATACTTGTAAAATATATTAACACATCTTCACGTGATGCCCGAGAGCTATATGTTACCGAGAACTATATGTTAGTATTTGGTTGGAAATAAATCCATCTAGAAACTACTTCCCGCAATGCTTCGGATCGATCAAGGAAAATAATTTCACGGGTAGCAAGGTATTTCACAATTATTTGTTTTGGGAAATGATGAGTAAACATATTACACCGAAAAATCAAATATACGTTTACTGTGCCTTTATATTATATGTTTGGTACGTTGTCAAACTTTAGTAATATTTTATATAAAACAGCATCTTGCGCGTGGGCTTGTTATATCATGTTACCGCCCTAAGTTCTTATACGTACACAGTATACAACCTTCGCAATTCCTTCGTGTCTATTAAAAACAGCAAAAGCAAGCAAATGCTTGCTTGTCAGGGTATTTAATATAAGTTGAATATAACTTATTTCTCGTATCGATATCAATCGATGAAAACAAACTGAATTTGTCGTTTTGCTTGTAGAAGACGAAATACGTGTAACAGTTCTCTCATATATTACATGTTCTTTGAGTTGATTTATTATTGTTTGCTTGCCCGCCCACCTGTCTTTGCTCTCTTTTTTCTTAATCGTTGATGATTGTATTGGAAATCTAACGCACGCTTTTGCAATCAGTCTCAATAAATCACGTTTCAGAGCGCAGTGCAATTACGGATATTTCGACAAACAATTGCATAAGAATCTGTTCCTGTCTCAGCAATGTTTTCTGCTCAAAAATTTCTTATAATACATTACCGCAGATAGCAGTGGTAGGCCAAGCAAATTTGCTCCCTGTCAAGAAATTATATATGATTTTATTTAAGTTTATCGGGGTCTTTTAAATCATCACCTTGTTGCCGGCAATCGTTTAAGCACAACTTTGCGATTGATCGGGAAAACCGCTTCATCTAAACTATTGATCTTCCTAAGCCAACCTCGAAAGGAGAATCAAAATTTATTTTTAATACATTATTTATAATCGGAAAGTTTCAACATTGCCTGAGTCTGAGGACAACAAAATGTATTTATATAGAGCAAGCGGTCAGAGCAATTTTCAAGTATTTGTTTTAATGTGACTAACGAAAAGCTGAACAACCGCGGTTTGAACGAATGTTTGGCGTTAAACTACAAACGTTTTCACAGTAAAGGAAACCAACGCTAATTTGAACCGACTTTAATTAGTATATCTAACTTCTAGTGAGCAAAACAGTTCTCATTGTTTGCAAAAGAAGAAGTCGTCCTTCAAATAATATCTTGGCCTGATATATCTGTCACATGTAAGAGTTTTACGAGCGTGCTTACATGTAATTAAATACATGACTTGAATAATTTTGCAAATCATTAGAGTTAGAGAAATTAGCATAACACTTTATGGTGACTTAATAACACATAGATTTAATGTACATAGGGTCAACATGTGGACCTAACTACCAGTAAAAATAAACAATCTCTCACATGTCGTCTGTCCATCTATCCACAGTGCAAGACACGTGTGCGAAGCATACATGTGACTTACTCATCATGCTTCAGTCCTTGCAGCGTTCACTTGCTCGCTTCGATGGGTCAGGCACGTGGTACGCAATGCTTTGCTTCGTACATAGGTATGGAAAAAAGCAGTTCGATGAATCATTCGTCGCAAAAGGCGAAGATTTTTAAAAGCGTGGCGTTCACAAATTGTCAAACATATGGCAATATTTCGGATAAGAGATTTCTCTACCATTTTGATACAAAAATTGCGGTTATTATCCCTGATACTAGATCAAAAACTTTACCTACCTTTACCAAGGTTTAGGAAAACAAACGAGAAATTAGTTCAACCTTCAATCTTTGGTAAGGTAGTTAACTAGAATTTAACCTTCGCCAGTACAAACCGTTTTGGCCAAAGAGGTTTGGGAGTGTTAGCACACGTGTACGTATCGGTGCTTGAAGACCTAGCTTTCGCACTATCCTACGCCTACATGGTCTTTACTCTTCTGCGATTTCAATCGCACTTTACTTTACTTTACAGAAGGTCTATATTTCACTGTCGAAATATTAATTTTTTTCCATGTCTTGTTTATTATGTGAATATAATTTACACGAATTCGAAGTGAGCAGTCAGGCATACAATATGATAAATTTGATAAATTTCCTTGGTCGACTTCACGTTTATCGATTTAAGAAACGTTTACGTGCATTGCTTTTTCTAATAATTGGAAACAAACTATAATTTTAAGCAATAATTTATGCACGGTAAGCAAAGAAAATCATGTTAACATCGAATGTTGGGAAGACAACGGATACAACAAATCATTAATATACGATGTATTCAAATTAATTATTATTCAATTAAGTATTAATATTAATTAAGAATTTATTTTAAACAACAATTCGTTTTCTGGCGTGCTTTGGGTGAACAACAATTATGTTTTATTGTCCTTTAGTAAACAAGGAATGTATTCAACGCTGTTTGCTTATTTCGTTTTGTTTAATCCCCACTTATTGTAATTATGTATGAAAATCGGGCAAAGTTGTGAGTATTGTGAGTATTGTGAAGCAAAGCATTAAAGAAAAATGAAAAGGAAACAGATCTCTTCGAGTTTACTGATAGGATATGCTACTGCACTTACTTACCCATTTGTTGAGCTTTGTTGAGCACAAATCTTCACAATCCATTCTTGCCAGTTAAAGTAAGTCAAAGAAACTGTCAATTGATTCTGAAGACATATTGGATAAAAGAAAAGGAAAAAAAGGAATGAAAACACTATGATAGGAGGCGATACATCACTTTGTTTAACGTAATTATTCATGTATCAATATTTCAGAATAAGGTTTTCTATAGGGAGCGGTTCAAATTTTCGACCTGTACGATGAACAGGCAGAAGGACAGACAAGCTTAACTTGACTCACAAACTAACTCCCAATAGTATTATGAAAGGTGTGTCTCTCTCAAGGTTCTCGGGGAGTTCCATGCATCTGCACAAACTTAATGTGCTCTTGCACAACAAGTGATGTAGGGTATAATAAAGATGTGAAAAACTATGAAAATCATTTAATAATTATTTACTGAAAAGCTTTAAAAACACAGCCTCTGTTGAAGATGGGCTCTAGATGTAATCATAATTTATTTAAAGCAATCTTTGCTCTCTAGGTAATACCAACAGCAATTCTTTCACTACGCTTCGCCACCGTAATTAAAAACATTAAAGGTTCAACACAACGTTTTAGAAGGTTAAGGCTAAAGATGTGCTTCTGCGCTTAAAGTTTATTTGAGACGGAAGCTTTTTTCGAAATATCATCTAGAACGCTATATGAGATACTGAATGTAAGCGCAAATCTCTTGTTGACCTTATCACAGCATACAAAAATAGTAAAGTAAGCCCCGAAATTTGTTATCGCTATCTCTCTTTACTCTACCATCCAACGAAAGGCGCCAATGTACTCTGCATAGAGCCACGTTTTCAAATGCCGCGAAAATTCAAAGTAGAGACATCAAACTTGGCATTGACCACGATATTGAAAACACAAGTGATTCGCTCGCAATCGTTGGTTAGTTATGCGACGCCAAGGTCGAACTCCTACCTCTACACAAGCCACGCGAGTTTGGAAGAAGCAGCCAAACTCGGTCAAATTGAAGGGATTGTGAGCTGGTCGTCGAATCAATAACAGCTTTTGATTTCCAACAACAACTTACAACTTAAAAGCTGTCTATTAAAATCACCTCCCGCTGATCTCAATCAATCAAAAAACACATTACGTTTAGAGTTACGCGCAAGTGTTTTCCATGTGTTAGGTTAGCAAGGATGAAATTTGTACCTACGAATATTGACAATTTTAACAGTTAACTATTTGACATTGGCGTAATATTTCATTATTTTACATCTCGCCTGTTTAAAGAAGTCATTGGAATGTGCAAATGCGCCACGTGGCGTTCCCAGTATCAAACGCTAATAAGGACGAACTAGAGTTCATCAGTTTTCAACTCTGACTCATCCTAGAGTGCCTTTGTGTTGTCCTTGAAGGTTGCTGTTAGCAAACAAACAATATTAAACAAATCCGTAAAGTGAAAAAAAGGCGGATGTCCACAGCTTCCATCCATGTGATGCAACGACTACAGTAATGTTTTACATAAAAGAAGTAAACACATTATACAACGGACAACGGCCATCATTAAAATACCCTACACCATTTCGCTTAACACAGTTAGTCGGGCATGTAACGACCTTTCTAAACATTGCGGTTTATGGGAAGATTTCGCAAAATTTCT